CGTGTAAAATGTTTCAGGTTTTTGCAACATTGGCTGTCAACGGAGCGACAACTCCTTGGTTTTTGTTAGCTGTCACACCAGTTGCTATTCTGTACTTCTTCATTCAGGTATGTTCATACATATTTTTAAATTGGGTGCTTTTTTCAGCAAAATTGTCACATCGGAACTCTCCTTCGAAAATATATCGCATCGATAGATTTTTGCATCATTGAATCCATCAAATTCTTCATCGGATTTCTCTTTTTTGAAGTCTTGTTTTTCATGTGAATATGCAGGAAATACAAGCGTGCCAAATAGTCATTTATATAATGCTTTTTAATTAATGATTCTGAAGTTATTTCGGGACAAGAAAGTTGACGCTTCTGTTGACAATTTTTTTCACTCTCTTTTGTCCCGAACAGCTCATTCGCGGCTACAATAATCGTAGAATTTTAATGAACTCTCATTCAGATTTTTTTAGAGATTGGTAAACAAATTAGGGACGTAATACGAAGAAAACCCGCACTTTTTTTCCCCCGATTAGTAAAAAATGAACCTGGCAGAGTTTTTGTAAATTCAACTGGATGCTGTAGTTGTGAAGCATTTGGAAGTGTATGCGTTTTTTTTTTGTTGGAAGATTTCTGTCATGTTGAATTTTTTTCTTTGATTGGAATACATTCCGGAAAAACCTTTTTTTGCATTGTTTTAGAGGTTTTATGCAGCGACATCTAGACAACTGAAGCGACTATCTTCTGTAACTCAGTCACCTATGTATTCACACTTCGGCGAAAGTGTCATGGGTGGACCTACGATCAGAGCTTTTCGACTCCAAGATGACTTCATTGCTGAATCTGAGCAGAAAGTTGATACCCATCAACGCTGTTTCTATCCGAGCATGAACAGCAACAGGTGCGAAATGAATGCTAGACAATTCCCGTCGGAATTTACACATTCATCCGTGTATTTGACCCTATATACTCCTATAAAAGTTTGACCCAATATACGGTCATATATATATTGTTCTGGAAAATATTTTATTTGCTCAGGTTTGTTCTCATTAGAAAAATAAGTACTTATTCATGTAGGTATGTTCACATGTGTTTATGGCCTTATATGTAGGTATCTGAACCAATGGTAAAGGGTGAACCAAAAAAAAGTGAACCAATTTTCTATTTAAAATATATAGGTACAAAATTGACCTGTGACAGTGAAGAACACCAAATGAAAGCTTGTTCTATTTCATTTTAAATTAGATGCAGTTTTATTGTCTCAAGTGCTCAAAATATGTTTGCCCCTCTCATCCCAACTCCTAAATTTTAGGAATTTGTGCATCCTCTTGATGGCAGAATGAAGGGTTTTGATTGCATTTCTGGTCATACACCCTATTTATCATTAAAAACAGCTCTGGAGAACAGGAGCTTGGCGGAAGGAGTTTCCTGACAACTTTTTTGTAAAGTTTTCATTAAAATGGATCTTATGACCATGTCATTGTTTCTGGGACCATATAAGTGCATACCATTTGAAAGAGAATTCAAACAGCTTCTTTTCTTGTTTAGTTTTAAATGTCACAGCTTGATTTTCTACCAAGCTATTTTAACTAAAAAATCAGTTCACTTTCTTTGGCCCACCCTGTATACAGTATATAGGGTCTGATACATAGAGAACTTGAATCAAATTTCATTTTCTAACCGCACGTTTTTTCTCCAAAATTCAGTACATACTTGCTTGAAAAAAATTGCTGCAAAAGAGATGCGATTTTTCTGGATTCACCTTTTGTTTCGAAATTTTGAAATATTATTTTATATTTGAAGATGGCTGGCCATCAGATTGGAGCTGATCGGAGCAGTTTTGGTTTTCTTTGCGTCGATTTTCGCCGTTCTTGGAAGAGATACTTTGAGCGGTGGTTTGGTTGGATTATCCGTCACTTATGCCATGGGGGTAAGTACAAAACATCTATAATATCAATCTGAGGAATAAAAAACTTCAAGAGAACGGCGTGCCTTGTGTGAAAACCGAAATATTCGTCTACTGTGCGTAAACAACACTGATCTCATTTTGCTTCTTCGTTTTTTTCCATGATTTTTTACATTGGATATTNTATATTGAAGCTTTTTACGAAACCAGATCGTTTGAAGATTGAGAAGAAGCCGGTTTAAACTATACCGTTTCAGATATAGAGGGGAAAAAACCTTTTCGAGGAGCTGGATATTTCAAGTTTAATGAATCGTTTGCCAGGTTTTTATCTATAGTGAAATCTTTTTTTCAAACAGGTTGGAATTGTGGGCAGAACAGGGGCTGGTAAATCCTCATTAACTCTGGCCCTGTTTCGCATCATCGAACCCACCCATGGGTCCATCGTCATCGACGGAATCAACACCAAAAATGTCGGTCTGGCAGATCTTAGATCTCGAATCACCATAATCCCTCAGGTCCGGTCATTAAATCTCTGGGATATCTCCGTTTTTTTTTTTTTTTGGGAGCATCGACGTTAATCTCTCTCTGTATAGGATCCAGTACTCTTTTCTGGTTCTTTGAGGATGAACCTGGACCCGTTCATGACTAATGACGACGCCACACTTTGGTCTTCGTTGGAACACGCTCATTTGAAAAGTTTTGTCAAGAGTCTGCCGAACGGTTTGGACCATGAGGTTTCCGAAGGTGGAGCAAACCTAAGGTGAGAGAGATGCCAACAATTTTATAAGTTATTCAAAATGTTCCTGAAATATTAGCGAGGAATGCTTATAAATGTGTTTGCCAATTCCTTGTGCAACCAAAGTTCTCGAAACCACGCTTTGATCAATAAGAAGACTCAAAAGCAATCCTCCGTTGATTTTATTCGAAATTTTCTTCAATTCCTGCCCTGACTGGTTTAACTCAAGTTTTTGCTTCTCAGTCCACATTTTTAAATTTATATTTATACTCAGCCTCACTACCAGTAAAATTGCCGAAATATTAATTTTATTTGTTAGAATTTGCAGGATGCACTGTCATCACTATCGCCCACAGAATCAACACTATCATGGACTCAGACAGGTACGATTTTACGTCAAAAATCGTGAAACTATTATAAACATTTTTGAATGATTGAATTTTTCCTCGTGGAATGATAAACCCTTTGTCACATCGATATGACTTGATGGTTGATTTTTGCGTGTATCGATAGTTGGATTATCCCTTATTTCTCCTTCATTAACTTGTTGAGAAAATCGCTGCCTCACAAAGAAAAAAATCCAGTTTTGTTGGAATGAATATGAGCGAATTTTAAAGTTTTAATCGATGTTTCCAGGGTCATGGTGTTGAGCAATGGGTCTATTGAGGAGTTTGACAATCCTGAGAAACTTTTGGAAAACCCAGACTCGCTGTTCACACAACTGGCTCGGGATGCCGGACTTTTGAACTCCTCTGCATCAGCAGTTCAGAATGCTTCACCGGAATCCACCTAAATAATTTATTGATGAATTGATCTATGGAGTGAATGACCTTCTAAAAGTTTTTTGCACCTGCACGCGCAGCTCGGAACAAAGAAAATAAAAAAAATTATTTCGCAACCGAACAGATGAGAATTTCACTTCGCAGAGTGATGATGAGAAGCATTTGGAAAATACGTCATATGTCAAGAGATTCTAGGTACTTTTCTGAAATTTTACATATAGCCCTTTTTGCATTGAAAAATATTTAGTACAGTATTACTAAAATTACGAATAAAGAAGTGTAACTAAACATTCGTCGGGGGCAATTTTCGCTTCAGCTGATTATGACTGTTTTTCCAGTGACACTATTTTTATATTTTTGGACTGTCGGATCCGTTTTGAAGCTTCGGAAACTTTCCTGATGGGTTAAAAATATTCAAAGGGCAGTACTGTATAACTCAATTGACAATAAAAATTTAAAACTACAAAATCCAACCAATGTTCATAAAAGCTTTGTTCAGTTCAGGGGAGAGAATATGTTCAATTCAACTACAATAGTGCCTTTTAAAGCGAACACCTCACACTACAAACGTTCTATAGAACAAACATTTGTGGTGTGACCCTTTACCATTGTACTAAAAACAAAATTCGTACAAAAAACGATTTGCTCTTCCACGCACGAGAAAATTTCTCGTCTTCTTGTAAATCTGATTTTTATAACGAAAAAGCCATGCAACAAACATGCTACTTAAACAAATTATGTTTGGCAAACAAACAACCACTGTCATATTGATGATACATTTAGTACCCAAATATGGACAAAATACTTCTAATGATTCTTTTTGTCAATAGGGCATATGATAATACGTGATTGAATCCATTTTCTTAAAAGAGTAGAACACTTTTTCTTGAATAAGTCTTTCCTTGATTTTAAGAAAGTTTCATTTTCAATCGTAACTGTGTGAATTATGAGAATTCTTCCATGTGGCAGAAGCAAATGGCAGATCAATTTACTGTAATGTGCATCTAATGGCTTCAAAAATTTCAAGATTGGATGAATAGCGAGTATTTTATATGAGATTTCCAATGAAAAAAAAATGAAAATTTATAAATTCCCAGCAAAAGCCTCCGCTCCCTGAAGTCTATGGGCCAGACGTGGAGGGAGGGAGGCAAGGGGAATATTGGAAAGGGAGTGCTGCCAGCTGATCCAGGGCTAAAAAAGTAATAAAAGATAATAATAAAAATTTTCTCTTTTTTTATCTAATCTAAGAACCAGGTTCCATGCCCCGTGAATCATCGTCAGGTGAGGGTTCAATGGCTTGCAAGGCATTCCAAGACAGCCTTCCATCAGTCGGGCGTCTAAACCGCATCACGGATTCTTGTCAATTACATGTCGAAGGTGGCTTGAGAATCACTTTTTTTTCTGGCATTCCCCCACGTGCATTTATTAAGGTTTTATCGTAAATCAGTTTGGAGAAATGTGGCGAATTTTTGCTGGTGTTTTGAGTTTGGCTGTATTGGCTAGCAGCACAGTGATTCAGCAACAAGGGATTGGCCATCCTTTGCAATTTGGTGCGGATTATGCCCCGATTCACGTAGCGTATTATCCAGTGGAAAGGTCGGATGTGAAGGATGATTATCGTCTGGAAGGACCGGCTTTTTTGCCTTCACCTGGTTATCCAGGCTTTGGTCTTCCAAATAGAGGTTGGTTTTTTGAGATCTTTTTGAAAATCACTAAATCCTTCCTCAAATAATTTTTTTCATTTAATGTTGGTCGTTCGTTTCTGTGATGTGGATCATTGGGACATTTGTGTGGATTGACGAGGGCATTATTTAACACGTTGCGTTCAAAAATCGCGTGCCTGAGATTTTTTTTTTTTGGCAAAGTTCATAGTTCAGCGGAATCACGTCTGACGTTGAAATATTCGATAGCCTCATTTCCACGCTTTTTGAAAGAAACCCATTTTCTGACATGAACTTTTATTCAAATTTGTTTGGTTTTTGAAGGTAACTAAACAGTAAATAAATTAGGCATTCCTGCTTCTCAGAATTTATGGCGATTGGCCAGAAACGGTAGTATGCTAAATTACGAATTCATGGTGGGGACTTATCTTACCGTTTCTTTTACAATTGCTGCTAAAAAAAGTTCATTAACGAGCTCAAAGCCATATTTTCTTATGCTCTATTTGCTTTGAACTGATGTAAAAGCCACATTTTTAAAGCTGAAATGTGTATTTTTACTCTCTGGTCATACAGGGAAGGATTTTAGAGTGAAGTATCTGGGCTGAATTAAGAAACCAGCATCCAGGCATATATATTTTCTACTTTTGTCAGTCTTATTTTGTACAATTGTTTACAGAGAATTTCATTTCCCCGGCATTCGATATTTTGAAATTGTATTTCAAAATGTTAGCTTTAAGAGGGAAACTCTCACAAAAAATATCTGCACGTTCCATTCAGCAACGCAATAGTGTTCTTTTTGAGGTTTGGAAGTAATTTTATTCTTTGTTTTCTCCTCAACTGTGTATTGTATAAGCAACTCACTATTGTTTTATTCATATGCCACGAACCCAAGCATAAAAATGTAATTATAAAAGCATTTTCTTTAGGTATGAATACATTTTTCGGAGACAGTAGATTTTCATGGATGCATTTTCTGCACTTTCACAACTTCGGGAACCCAAACGGCGTTGGTTACTCAGCTTTAGAAGAACAGCATGTTCGTAAAATAATTTTTAAAAATTCCGAGTTGAAGAAGCGGAGAAGATTGTTTTAATGATTGATAGTGGGTGAACTGTTGGCATTGTATAAGTGCAGTATCATAGATGTCGTTGGTGTTTCCCGAGATTGTTGCATGGGATCAAAGTTTTTTTTATGATTTGTAAGGACTTTGAGATTATACCAGAACTTTTCTGCACACGATCATGGAATTCGAGACTATAAGCATGAGTTCATTATTCTTGAATTGTGAAATTTTGAACAAGACTCATCCGAGCTAATAATAAATACACGAGGGGGAATGCCAGAAAAAAAAAGTGATTCTCAAGCCACCTTCGACGTGTAATGACTCATCCGAGCCGTAAAAATTAAATTTTTATTTCAGCAATCGGATTGCCCGCTGTATTGACGTCCGGAAAAATTTCAACCGCAACAATTGTCCTTCAAGGAGCAGCTAATGTGTTGGGACACGCAATTTTCCTGCAACGCACCCCGGTGTCACCGGTTGTGGCGATGATTTCTGTTACTCTGACACCAACAGCAACCTTGGCCAATCGAGGCGACATCATAGCCGACATACGAGCCCTGCCCGTGCAACTGACTGGTGCAAACAGTAATTGCCCCAGCACAGGAACAGTCTACAACCCTTTCCTTGTAAGTGTTATTTCATTGAAAGCGAATTGTAGGCAAAGTATGATTTAGCATACATATATAGGGGATTTTTTTTCCAAGCCAATATATAGGCATTATATAGGGCACCAGAACACCAGCATTTTTGATGCAAGATAGACTCGACTGGAATCAAAAAGTTATCTATGAATTTGAGTCTCCATTTATTTTTTGCTGTCAAGGAAGTGCCAAGAAGTCTTTATTCTTATCCCAGCGTTTTTTTTTTGTTCCCCCGAGGTCCTCCGAAATGGGGATATCTGGATGAATTCTTCTTGATCTTAAAATCTGCCGATGACGGGCACAAGCCCTTTATTTAGGCTGCTCTCCTTTTTTTCAACTAGATTTATTATTATTTTGCACCTGCTATGAAAGCAGTGCCACGTACAGTCACTCCAAGATTTTTAAATCCAGATTAATGGACTGCAATTTGGCAATTTCCCTACCATCAGAACATGATCACGAGGGATTTTATTGTCTGACACATGTGTATGTACGGTAAATAAAAATCATCAATGACAATCTATACGTCATCAAAGTTTTCCCGTATAGTTTGGTTCTTTTATCTGCTGAAAGCTTTGGTAGAATTTATCCCTTAGGTATCAGTTTGACTATACTGTACTATACAAACAAATTTTTGGTCTAGGATTCACAAGGAACTTTCAGTAACACCTCCATTTTTCTTAAAATTGACCAAAAAGCAGAACTCGGTTTCATTTTCTCAACGATTTTGCCTATCCAAAGAAACAAGAGAGAGAGAGAGAGAGAGAGAGAGAGAGAGAGAGACAGAGAGAATAAGTACCAATTAAGAAATTTTCAATAATATTTAAAGATAACATTAGATATATAATATGTAAATTTTTTTCGAATTCATTCAATTTTCTTGCTCAGCTTGGGGATTTTTGGATTTATCTTTCATGGGAACGAACTTGGAATTAGAAAATTACGGTATTTATTACCAATATTGAAAAATATTCTTTCTCAAACAGGTGGAGCCAGAATTTGCTGGGATTGTTAATCATAAGCCACCTTGATTGGGTGAAACTTTCAAGACTCTAGCATACATTTGACTTGAATTCTACAAGGATTTGCCTGGAATATGGGGGTTGATAGCCTAACTGAGATTGTTCTCATAATAAGTCAGCCATTTTTGGAGTCTCAAATCAGTATCCGATTTTTTTGTGTGACAGAATCCGTATTCTTCAGTTTAATCAAGCTGTTCTGGCCAATCTGGTGATTACATTTTCAGTAGGATTTTGCGATGCAACATCGGTGCTCTTTGGTCAAGTTGGCAAATCATAACTAATCAGTAGTTTAAAATAGTGTCGAAATAGGTGTAACAAATGTCGTGTTTTCGCTGCTAGTTTTCTTGAATAACGGACGATCAAACGTTTAAAAGTACCGATACATTTTAGCATTATTTTAAACACCGCTCGAATTTTAAAAAAACCAAGCCAAAAGGAAAAACGTTTGCTGGAGTTGTACGGAATTTTCTCTGCCGCCGAAAGTCGGCAAAATTCGAAAGACAAGAAATTGTCCTGTAATATAATCTGCGCGTCTCGGGACGCGTGCAACATAAAACGTTTGGAAAATCCCCAGAACTGGGGTGAGTAAAACAGAACAGCCATAAAAATCGGCGATAAAACAAATCGTCTCTATTGGGGAAATACAAAAAACCTGAGAA